GTTTGAAATTGGCAATTGTAAGCAATATTTATGAGAAGAATATGCAAATATGTATTTTATGAGAAAAGTATTGAGTAAGTTAGAAAATTCTATGATAGGAAAATGAAAGGTTGATGAATTTTTATTCTCAAAAATCAGGAATAGACTGGAGAAAGGGAAAAAATATCAAAGCTGTGAAACATCCATATGTAATAGGTAAATCATTTAACCTGGAGAGAAATTTGAAACAGCAATAACTATTTGGACTGTGCATACATTCTGTGCTCCAAATCAACTTTCAATCCATGTATTCACTAATATCCTCTTCAGACAACAACAATAAATTCTGGTCTATCTAGACAAAAGTATTTTTCTTATTATAACGAGATTTCTTTGTAGATTCAAAAATATCAATATTAGACTCATAAGGTTTTGAAACTCAACAGAGGAGTATGAAGGAAGGCCTAGGCTTCTGGTCAAATTTCTCCACTTCCCAAGATAAATACTATATACCTCTTTTTTAATGTACTCCTTGGGTGGAGAAGGTTTCATAGTGTTGTCCCACAGCTTGAAAAGTCAAATCTTCTGGTTATATTGAAATGAATTTCCTCTTATGTGTCATGTGTCAAATAAGTTTCAAAACCATGTCTTCAGTCAACATCAAACCCCACTATTGGATGGGAATTGAGAAATAATGATGTAAAAATCTTGAAATGAATCCCCTCTAACATTTTGTATCAAATTACAGGAGCCTACACCCCATGCGTAATTGGAACCTTTTTCATCAGCAAAATACAAGCCCAACCCAAGTTTTGTTAAGTTTCAGTTGAAAAAATCATGCATCTCACCTGTCTGTGGATGGATGCAAAAATCATGGTTAGATTTTACTGACCAAAGTAACTTACAATTCATTTCACAGTTATTGCCTATTTTCTTGCGGGGGAGGGGGATTTATAGAAACCTGTATTCACTGCAGAAATTCTGGGGGTTTGGGCCCGTTTTTGAAGGATTTTCATTTGGCCTACATATTGGCTATATCTTTGACTATTATTCATTCCCCCCCCCCCCCCCCCCCCCCTTCACCTCATACTCAACAGTAGGTTTCTACAGATACATGCACCCTTAGTGTATTGACTCTGCCTGTCAGGAACAATAACATCAAGGGTGGGGATATGGATCTTTATAACAACCAACAAAAGCGTGTATCACAGTGTAAGATAATGAAACTTAAATCCTTTGTTTTTGATAAAAATAACATAGATAACGATTAGCTGATACATGAGGTATCTGGGTCCAGATGTTATTTATTATAAGAGCCCACTATGATCCCCACATTCAATCATATACAAACCATTTGAAAGATGGAGAAAATGAACTTCAATTGATTGATCAAACACATTCACATGGGATCAGCACTGGGCCGCTAAACGTTCTGCCCAAAAAGTGTTAGCGTGGCAGCTTTTTTTGCGCCCCAAAATTGCATAGTGTTAGCAAAAAGTTAGCGGCTTTTTGCTGCACTACGGGCCGCTAACAGCCGCTAAAGGGCCAAAATGTTGCTAACCAGCACTTTAGAGCAGGGTAGCGGTCACTTTTTAAGGGCCTGCACACGTGGTGTTAGGATGGACGTGGCAGAATTCCACTACTCTATGCTGAAGTTTAGCAGAGTTCTGCTACATTATGCTGCGCTAACCACTATGGTTAGCGTAGCATCCCACCATTGATGGGATTACAAGGCAAAATTCCAGTGCATTTGACTCTGTGTGAAGATGAGATGGTTACAAGATCCAGGAGACAGTAGCTGTTTATATTTGGTGCCAAGGATATATATATCAGGGATTCCGGAGGCCTATCAATGATGACTAGAAATGTGAGTTGGCCTAATCCAAGAATGGATGTCAGACAGGTGTTCTTACTTGGGATGTTCCTTGTGAGACACCCTCCAGAAAAGAGATAAGATAAGTTTGATCCCAAAATGAGAGCCCCAAAACCCATCTTTCCATCCCACAGGCTCTTTCTGAATCACAGAAAGGCCCTCACTGAGATCCCAAAGTCTTGATTGCCTCCTGAGTGAATCCAATGGGGCCTCATACAAGAGTGGGTATGTCTATTACCCCTCAGCCTGTAGGTCTAGTCTTACCGGCTGAGGATTGAGCCTCATTGGTTGTTAGGTCCAGACTTTACTAACTAAACAAGCATAAATCCTCCTTAGCTTGTAGATACAGACTGTACCCAGTTTTCAAGGATTTGGGTAGGCACAGACTATACCAATCAACTAAGCAGGAGTCCTGCTTGCTGAGTAGGTACGGTCTATACCTCTCTTCAGGACTATTAGCAGCGGTGGGTCACTACGCTTTTGGCCCAAAAAGCGTAGCGTAGCGGCGCTTTTTTCATCCAAAAACCGTAGTGTTAGCGGTTTTTTAACGGTTTTTCGCTACGCTACGCTGCACTACAGCGCTTTTAGCGGAAAAAGCGGCCAAAAACCGCTAAAAACCGCTGTAGCGCAGAGTAGTGGGCCCTTTTTTGCGGCCCACACGCGTAGCGTTAGCAGTGTCGTGGCGGAATTCCGCTATGCTACGCTAATTGCTAACAGCAATTCCGCTGCGTTATGCTACACTAGCCCCTACGGTTAGTGTAGCGGCCCACTGTTGCTATTAGGCACCAAAATTTTCCTTGGTCAATCCATACAGTCTGCCAATGGTGGGCTGCTACGCTACACTATTCTAAAGGGCCACTTAGTGTTAGTGTAGCAGCGCTAAAAGGGGCCCTTTTTTCTGTAGTGTTAGTGTGCTGCTACCACTGCTACGCTGTAGCGCCACTAACAGGCAGCTTTTTTCTGGTTAGTGTTAGCGCACCGCTGCAGCTGCTACCCTGCATTAAGCTGCACTACAGCACTTTTAGCGGCAAAAATCCTGCTAAAAAGTGCTGTAGCGCGGCTTAGCGGGCATTTTTTGTGCCCTGAGTGCATAGCATTAGCACAATTCCAACTTTCTGCGCCAATGGTACGCTAACAGCTAATGCACTCTTGTGCCCTTTGTGCGTAGCGTTAGCGCAGAAATATGGATTTTTGCTAACGCTACACTACAAATCAGCGTATTTTTGCTGAGCTATGCCACACTAATGCTACGGTTAGCGTAGCTGGCCCACCGTTGAGTCTGCACCCACTGGTACCAATTGGCCAAGGAAGGTCCTCCATGGGCTGATTTGCAAGTATCCTTGGCCAAACATTGCCTTAGTCTCTACCCTCTGGCACAAATATACCCAGGAAATCCCACCGTCCAAGCAGGATTCCTACCCAGCTAATTGGGACAGTGTCTGAAAGTTTAATCTGGAGATCTGAGGAGCTGTGTACTCTCAGATCTTGGGATGGGCCCAGAGCAGCACCTCCCAGGACGCAAGAAAGATGGCCTGGGCCCGTCTCACAATGTCACTTCTGCACACAGATGTCCCTGGAATTTGGGCAACTCACTGCCCCCTTTTCCAGGGAGTTAAGTCTCCTGCATATGGTCTTGCGAGCATGCCTGGGCACAAACCAAAGTCCGCTTGGCCGAGTGCCACCGGGGGTTTGGATTGTGCCCAGAAGGCTTGATCTGACAGGTTGTGCAAGGGGGGGGGGGGCAGGACTTGGCACATAGCCAAGCCACACTGGGCCAATATCAAGCTGTTGGCCAAGAGGATCACATAGGATCATCAACAACTCCACCACCAACTTCAATCAGGTTTTCTTTTTCAAAATCAGTCAGTTTCTTTTCTTTTTTTTTCTTCTTTACAAGACCATCTTCCTGATATACTTGTGCTTTGCATACAACCGCTTGTCAATTGCAGTTGACCAGGTCTTCAACAAGTCGCTTGCACTTCCACCCCAGATGGTGAGCAAAATTTTTACCCTTAGAGCTGGGAACAGAGGGTAACATAAGGTTGATGCACCCCTTGAGTTATGGGGTGCATGGCACCCTCACTTGATATCGGCCAAGCAAGGCTTTGCTCTGACCCCTGCCAACTTTGGCATGTGCCCAGGGGGGTTGGGAGGGTGCCACGCACCCTTTAGGATTGGCCAAGCGGGGCTTTGGGATTGGCCCAGCGCCCTTGGCCAGTTTTTGGCCAAACTTTGGTGTGTGCCCAGACAGGCTTGCGCAACACCATTATACATGAACCTCTACAACACAATTTTTACAATGGGGGGTTTCCCAGATGCAAGGATAGACTTGAAGCACTTCAAAATGATCGTGTTTTGTCACTCGCATCATCCTCATCCATCCACTCCATTCAAGAATTCTCAGACCTTGTTCTTGGTGGGTGGTCCTTATGGAATCAGATCCTTCTCCCAGCTCGATCTGACACATAAACCAACCTGCAAGACATCCAGAAAACCGCCAGCTTGATGAGGCAACCCTGCAGGACCAGAAAGTTGACCAGAAGCCACCCCGTCAACTGTCATGAATCCCCATGCCCACTAATTGACCCCACCATTCCCCACCAATTGATGTTTTTTTTTCTCTTTCTCAAGGCTGACTATTTCCACTAATCATACCCAAACCCTGATTTTCTTTAATTATCTCCACTCCTGTTCCTCCTGCTCCCACGTCCCCATCACCAAAGTAGACCAAGAAAGAAAAAAAAAAGAAGTTGTATACATATACACATACAACTGCAATGGGCTTTGCCCTCAAAGCATTAGTGTTTCCTCTTTTTTTTCGGCATGTGGAAGTGATCAGGTAGTAATAGCAAAGAAAAAAGTGAGCAGTTGTTTTTTTTGCTGCGCTACGCTATGCTGTGCCCCGGACGGCTACGGGGCCAAAAAGCCACTCACCAGCACGTAGAATAATGGGTGCTAATTTGGTATGGCCTGCAAAAGTGTGAAGGGCTAGACTAATAACAATTAACACTACAGTTATAAGCAGAGCTAAAACTGGCCCACTGCTGATACATTACATACCTCTGTAGATCATCATCCTGATTGTGACTAGCACAAGAGAAGAAAAAAACATCCGGCTCTAAATGGATCTTACAAGCCCTAAGTCTGATTTGATTTAAACATGTGTGGACAATTCTTACATAAACTGTAAAAGCCTGAGACGATTGCTAAGCTGCATATAGTATCTGTGTATCTAAGATGTGTAAAGGTGTGGATCTGGATGCAGAGATAGGATAGAATACGGTACAAGACACAATAACGATATGGATTATTAAGATTCAAGAACACCCATCTCTCTTATATTTATGCCCCCCCACACCCACACACAAAAAAAAAAAATCAAGCCTAAAATGATGTTCATGCCAAAAAATACATACATACATACCAAAAAAAAGAAGAATAATAAAAAGGATAAAATCTAATTGGCCTGGAGCCATATCCACCCAAACAAAATAAAAGTTGCAAGGAAAGAAAAAAAGAGAAGGAGGAGAATGGAGAGTGCAAGAGGAAAGAAGGATGCAAACAAAGTTAAAAGAGGAAAGTGAAGAGTAAAGAAGAAGAAGAAGAAGAAGAAGAAGAAGAAGAAGAAGAAGAAGAAGAAGAAGAAGAAGAAGAAGAAGAAGGGGTAGTAGGGACTGGAGGAGGGTTGGGAGGAGTGTGGACAAGAGAAGGAAGGATATGGACGGGAGGTAAAACAGGAATCTGGGGGGAGGTGGTAGCAGTAGAAGTATTTGAGGAAGAAGAAGAAGGGGCAGGGGAAGAAGGGGAAGAAGCGGCAGACGACGAAGAGGACGAAGTGATCGACGAAGGATCGAAAGGAGACGGCGAAACAGGAAGTGTTGCGGTTGTTGTTGTTGGCGAAGTTGTTGTGGTCGTAGTGGATGATGATGATTCCGAAGAAGATGAAGAAGATGAAGAAGGAGAAGGAGAAGAAGGATGGACAGAAGGCTCAGCGGACGGAGAAGAGTAAGGCCACAAAGTCGCCCGCTCGCCGCGCTCAAGGACGGCGACGGTAGCCTGCAAGAGGCCGGCGATTTTGGGGGGCAGGATGCCATTTCTGGGGGGATGATTGAGCGGGGGGTGAGGGAGCTGATCGAGGTCCATCTCAGAAGCCGCAGAATCCTGCTCCTCCTGGCCAAGATTGTCTTCTTGAAAGGAAGAGTAAACTCGAGAGGAGGACAGGGAGCCGTCTCGCAAGGCCTGGTCGATCCGCATGGGGATCAAGAGCGTCACCCGGGCCAAGGCCAGCGAGACCCGCATCCGGCCGACCAGGTTGAAGTAGCTCATCCCCCGCAGCTTCGCTTGCAGCTCCCATAGCTCTAGCATCTCGTATCGCACCACGCCCAGATACTTTTGCCCCGAAAGTAACACCCGTCGTAGCCGCGTAAACGTCTTCTCCAGGCTCTCGATCATCTCTTCGCCTAGATTCAGCCCCGGGTTTCCTTCGTTTAATGCATCTGTTTATGTTTTTTTCCCATTCAGTGTTATTACAAGATAATCAGGAAATTGGCTTCTTCTTGAGAATATATAAAAGAAGAGCAGACTGACTGATAACCACTCTGATCATCTCGAAATCGCCATCCATGAATTCGCAAAACGTGGCATGCAGGACGCCGTTGAGCGTCTCATCCGGATTGATGTTCTGGCCGGTGGTTGACGACGAATACGAAGATGAGTGAGTGTGGGCGTCGGCCTTTGGGTTCGGATTCCTTTGCATCAAAAAAAACGCCACTGATTCAGTTTACTTTTTTTTTTTTTTGGAAGGAAAAATAGGAAGAGGGGTTTGTAATACATACGATTTGTTAGAACCACCACCATTGTAAGTATTACTATTAGAATTCCGAGATCTTGAAGAAGAAGAAGAAGAAGAAGAAGGATTGTCGAAGTTGAAGGCGTGCGGGGACCGATTGTGATTGGAGTCGTATAGTTTGCGGGTGTGGGGGTTAGAGAGGGTTTCATAAGCGAAGCTAAGTTTCTGGAAGGCGGCCGTACAGGGTTCGTACTGGGGCAGCTTGCTACACAAGAAAAACCCATACCAAAATAAGCAAAAAACAGTAGGAGTGAAGAGAGTCAGAGAAGTGAATGTACTCAGGATGACAGAGCCGAGATCTGGAGATATACGCCTTTCGGATATCGTCGAGCTTGATAGACTGGCGGTTGAGGGCGGAGTATCCGGAGAGGCCGAGGACGAGATAGAGGTCCTGATGGCGATTGATCTGGTCGACGAGCAGATAGTTTGGATTGGTCTGTCCTGAAGAGCTCGGCGTCCTGGGAAGCTGATGGTGGGAGTTAGTGGAGTGTGGTTTGCAGTTGGAAGAAGTGGGTTGTTGTTGGAAGGAGGCTGAGCGGGATGGGAGTGAGTTCGGATGGCGTTTGTTCTTGTTCTTGTTGGTGGTTGTGTAGGTTGCGGAGTGTGATCTGGTTTGGGTTGAGAGTGAGGCCATGGTTTGTGTTGGTGTTGGTGTTGGTATTGTTGGGTTGGTGATGGTATGTTGTTGGGTGTATGCGCTGGGAAGTGAAGGGTGAGATGGTCAACAGCTTTCAGCAGTCAACTCATTCAACTCCACGGCCACCCGGGGGGATCATCCGGCTTCTCTTCTTACATACAAGCAAGTCTGGGAACCACCTCCACTTCTTCAGATATTATCCCTGATCATCTCAAAATCAAAATAGAAACTGATCATCAGAGGCCTGATAGAGAACCATCTCAACATGTCTCATGACTAAAATTGGATCGACCAATGTGGAACACAGTTTTTTTCTTACTGCTTTAGAAAGAGGATGCATACACATGTTTTTTCCCTATACCATTCTTCAACACTTGGGGTCACAGTGTGATCACCTTGCATCCACCAACGTGAAGATTGCTTGGATGTATCCCTGACCAGCAACATCACTGGTATAAGCAGACATAGCCTATCCCTCCAGAAAAGTGATACCTATAGAACCTTGTATGTAGGACCTGTATGGTGGGATTCAATTTTTTTTTTTTTTCAAAATCTGCCCCTTTTTCTGTCTTCTAGATAAAAAATCATAAAAAAGAAGTGAAGGGATCTGTTCCTGAAATTCTTCTCTTCTGGCCCAAAAGCTGGCTGTTGGCAATCATCATTTTTGATGATGATGGAAACAATTTGAGAAATTGGATTTTTCATGCCCTTATATGGTACAGACACTTATTAATATAAGGTGAAATATCACCTGCTATCCAGTGTCACCTTCTTACCTAACATGGAGCATTTCAAGCATATGTTTAACAAAAACATGTAAAGTAAATTTGCAAAACCACTGAAAAATGAACAGAAGGACAACTGCAAGGCTTTGAGAAGGAAAAAATGCACATGAGTGAGGCTGGCTATTCAGCAGCAGGGGGGGAGATCCTTTTCTGAATTATTACCACTGGGATTCTCAGGAAGGGACATGTATCTCTCCTGATCCACAACTAGAGTGGGAATCAAAGTTGAAAGCAATTGTCTTGCATGGATTTTGGCAAGTCCCTCAACTCACAAAAAAAAGTATGCAAATTGAGTGGCCAAAATCCATGAAGGTAGCTTGTACAGGTTACATCTACATAACCTTGCCATGAATTTTGGAAACTCAGCATGAAATTGTACTACATATAGCTTGTGCAGAGCAACTTGCCCAAATTCATATTCAACCTTGGAAACCCCCTTCTATGTATTGGTCCTTGATAAGGGGAAATGCAGAGCAACTTGCCGCAATTCAGATTCAACCTTGGAAACCCCCTTCTATGTATTGGTCCTTGATAAGGAGGGAAAAAAAGAAAAAGGACAGTACACATACCAGGCATTAAAATATAGGAATTCATTTGATGGTTTGTGTTGCAAGTCATCAATCCCATCAGCCCAGGGCTTTACTTCAGGTTGACCAAGCTAAACAGCAGTGTGTCCCAAGCCCTTCACGGGGCCGCACTCAGACTGTCTTATCTGTGCTTATGCCAAAGCACATGTACTCTGACACATAGATTTGGGCTCTGTCAAGTGGACTAGGTGCATCTCTACACTGTTTTACACAATTTTTTGGTGTAAAAAAACAATTCCATAAAACTCAGGGTGATGTACCATAGCCGCTCAAATTTTCCCCTTTGTATCAGGTAATGCTAGCGTAATGTCAAATCCTATAGTTGTTTGTGCCATGTGGTGTTTTGCTCTCCTCTTCCCACTGATAACATAGTGACTATATGCTCTTGAATCTTTCATTTTGTAAGACATGAAGTAATAAAATCTACAAGGAAAAAAAAAGATGCCCTCAATTGATTCAGTGATGCTGCTTCAAACAAAGTATCTCCCAATGATTATGTTGCACTATGCCAGAAGTTGTGGGCAACTACTCCACACTGCACCATTTGGCCAAGAAGAAGTAATACAAATACCCCATCTTCAATCTACATGCACCACAGTGTTACCAGACTTTAAGTGCTGCCTTGATGTACACCTCTTTCGATAGTAAAGGCCAACAATAATCGGTATAAAACAGGAATATATTGTAACCTTGTGATGTTTAGTGCCATAGCATCATGATTAGCAGTATTAGTATTACTCTACACTATAACTACTGGTTGCATAAATAGATTAGTGGGCTCACTAATGAGAACAGTGGGCAAGCATACGGTGAGTAAAATCAAAGATTCAGAAATTCTGATTATAAATTTCCAAGCTTCTGAGAGATAAATAGATGCTCTAATTTTAAAAAAAAAAATATTACCTCAATTTTCACTTTGAACATCTACGTGTCATTGTCCTATTTTATTTTTCATTTCAGACTCATGCGCTCCTACTTTTGAACCTATGCGTAACAATAGCGCTTAAAGCAGATTTCGCATGCGGTAGACCGAGTAATTCCTAATCGGTTTCTTGATCGATCGATCAATCCACAGGAAAGGCAAGTTGACCAATCCTTATCGACTTTGTTTTCGATCCTCGGCTTGGTTGTTGATTCCATGACCGACTGAAGAAATGAACTTGAATCCTCTCTAGAATACTGAAAAATCAACAAGAAATCCAAAAAATCCTCTCAGCCAAAGTGTTTCGAATGTTTCCGGTGAGATCATGACAATATTTGTGTGGTAATTCTTCGACTCAACTTGTAGTTTGAAGGTTGACGTGTTGGTCAAGTAGCCAGTCTGCGATGGGCTATTTGGCAAGTAAATCACCAATGGATACCCGCCATTTCCTTCCTTACTTGAGACGTTGCAGCCAAAAAATGTTGGACGCGAGGAATACCCTGTCGCAGCGATGAATTTGATTCTTAAGCTTTGGATAATCTTTGCGGGTAGACATTATATGTTCGAGAGAAGTATTCAACTGACCTTTTTCTTCCCATACTGTGGGATTAAGTGGGACTGAAGGGAAATTGGATGTGCCAGCCGGTAACACTTTGTGAACTCGTAAGAACGTATTGATCATACCTTTGCCATTAGGCCAGCCAGCTCCAATCGCGCTACTGTGGGATGAAAGCATAGCAGTTTTGTTTATGTGTGTTGAGATTAGAATCAGTTGATAGAAATTTTCGCAAGACAAGCAAACTTAATCACCTTGAATTTGAATCGCCTGAGGCGTCTGCTGCCAAGATGACATCCACCTGTCTGGCTGGAGCTAACAGAGGATTGAGGGGTATGTTTTCGCCGTTTTCGCCTATGTAGAAGGAGAGTTGAATTCAGTAATCATCATTCAGCAAACCGCCAATGATAAAACATCATCTGCCACTCACCGCCGTCAACGATCACTAACTCGTCAGATTTTGATCGATCAAAACTTATTGCGCCATTTACACCTCGGAATGGATTGGGATATCGGGCGGTGAATGACCGGTCCAGAGCAGTATCTGCAATTTTTTGGATCATCTTCTTGAACATCTCGTTGTACTTTGCTGGCACCCCTGTCACAGCATTGAACAACTGGTATATTTGAAAAGGGGGATACGAAAGTGTAAGCAAATAAATGGAATATCGAAGAGATATCAACAAAACGCAACTGTTGCAGAGCTCCCCATGATGAAGCTCAATTGATCAAATCCTCGCACGCATCTCTTGTTGGGATCGGGTTTGGATGATTTGTTTACACTGGAAGGGATGAAGGGCTTTCCCGAACTCAAACTTGTACCCAAGAGTTCCGAGGGGATAAAAGCGCTCAGTTGAGGGTCAAAACTCCCAAACTCGAACGGCGAGCACTCGTAGACTGGGGCGGAAAGTGGAATATACGTTGATCCCGAGGCGGGAACGGAGCTGGTATTGGTTTCTGATTTGTTCAATGGCTTGTGATCACTAACTAATATTGGCAGGGGTGCTCGAAATTCTTGAAATGTTTTCATGTTGCGCAAGCCCGAGATTAGATCACCCGCTCCATGCGCTGTAGTCGGTGAATTTGTATAGAAATCTACCAATCGAATTTTTTGATAAAAATGAGTGATCAATCTCGAGGTCACATTGGACACTAATTGGATCCTAAAACTAACTGTCTGATGTTGTTCCAGGTAGAAAATGGTATCCTAGTGCTCGCCCCCATAAATCAGTCAACGAAATATTATAACCCGCATCTTTTTTGAGCTTAGAGGTATCATGTATCTGATCGATGAATTGTGCACTTCTGATAGCATTGATTCCGCCGGGTAGCACCAAGTCTTTCTCTAGTTCCCATCCAGAGACCAGTTCGGATGCTATGGGAAAATTGCTTGCTGCCGCAGAGGCGACCAGCCAGCTACCACCACTGAGACCGGAGAAATAGGACGACAACTGGAATATTCCACGGATTGGACTAGCGCTCGTCCTTGCGTCACTAGAATTTGGCCAAAAATCAATTTTTCAGTGGTTGAAACCCTTTTCCGAACATGATTGGATCGAGTCCAAAAAGATAACACAAACGAAAAAACACTTTGAACCTACAGTGTCTGCATGACTCCAGCCGCGTATAATGCTGCTCGGATCCCGCCCCCAGAGTATGCGACGCCAAGCACCGGCCAATCATTCTGTTTTTGGGATACCAGTGCAGTAGATTTATAGCCGGTACTTTTACCGGGTCCATTGATGAAAAAATCCCGCCAGAGTGGGGCTGTAACTGATTTCCGACCTCTGCGAAAGCCTGCCTCGGCCTGCGATAATGTCTGATTTTTGCTAGTTGAGGAACCTGCTAGTCTCAAGATATTTTGGTTTGATGGACATTCAATGCTGACAGGGGCGTAGGAAGGCACGCTGGCAGTCAAAACTTGCGAGGTAACATTGGAACTCTGCTGTAAAAGCAGTAAGCAATAAATTGAAAGAATGGATGAAAAGGGTAGTGCCATGCCTCTCGTCTTCCACGACATAATACTCAATGCGCAGAGATAAGAAAGATTGGCCAATGATTGGAGGTGAAACTCCGTAACTTGTTGGCGAAGGAGAGACTAGAAGTGGAAGTGAGGGTCTTGTTTGTGAGAAGTCGCCGTTGGAAGTAATTGTCTATTTATGTTGAAATTGTTTCGCGGGACGTCTGCTCTGGTAGCGATCCATTGAAAGGTTATCGCGGTATTATTCCAAGCGAGTGACGTTCAGGCCAAAGCCTCAGCCAGATGATGATCAATCAGTGGTGAAATCAAAGGTTCCCGTAAGGTGGAGGGCATTTGTAAATAATCATCAGTCTCTAAAGTCTGAGCAATTGAAGCACGTGGACTATGTGTAGAAGGCAGACTCGAAAGCCAGGCTGCTGACAAGTCGCTGAGTTCTCGTTTGCAAGGGTCAATGTCTATCAAGTCATCAAGTCATGTGCAAAAGGGAACAAGGCTTGATTTTTGATACTACATGCATTCAACACTCGAACTATGTATGTTTTAGGAGGGGTACATATGTACAGACTTGAGTGGTCATTTTGGGAGCGCACGACTCGGTGAGTCTACAGAGTACGACTACGAGTGCAGGATCAAGGAAGCTGTTGCATTTTCCAGACATGAACTGGTTTTCCCTGGTGCCACACCGAACCTCCCCTCCCATTGTTGCACATTGGAGGAGCTAATTCGCATGCGCAAGCGCTCCGTCGTGCACATGTGCCATGATGGGCTGGCGTATCCCGGCATATCCGTCGCGCGGTTCCCTTCCAGAAAATCTATGATGATGTATACTCATACAATCTTTCTAGTCCCCGCTCGTGTTGTAGTGGCTCCTATGATCTCATGTTTACTTAAACTTCCTATGGAATAATCCACCTAGCTTACAACTGATTCAGAATCACTTCAAGCTTGCTAGAAGTACCAACAAGGTGTGATCATCTTAGGAGTGCTTGAAGAGGAATTTGTAATCATCCTACCATGACAATCAGCTGCTGGCCAAGTCACCCTCCGAGGGAGATTGCGGCCCAAGGCTGCGCCCTGATGCCTTCAGGGGGTAGGCTTCTGGGTAACCTGTGCTCGCCGGCCTGGTACACCATGTACCCGCTCGCCGTCAAGACATGTCGCCTTGCTACAAAGAAATGAGCGGAAACAGGTATCTGTTATCTAGGGCCAGATTTATCAAGTTCTTCCACAGCCTGGAAAATATTTCTGTTGGAGGAAGTGTTTCACAGCCTTCTTTTGAGACCGAGTCAGGAATTATAACCGGCACATTTTCCATTATTTCAGTACAGCGTTTGATTTGAGATAACAATACAAGGCCGATGATAAATCAAAAGATTCATATTAGCGCTATAGGGTTTTTAGCTGTGCGCAAAATGTCCGTTTAGATCTCGCTTTCAATATTGATGAAGGGTACCAGAATTTTATAAGGTGACATGAATGCCCTGAAATGAAACATTTTTAGGAGACTGGCTGTTATGCAAAAGTGCGGACTTATAAGATTTCTGAATTAAATTGAAATTTTTAGAGTAATCGGGTGAAAAATAACGATGCGGTCAGTTTGCGCTGATACAGCGAATGACCAGGTATACCATTAGACAGAAAAATATGATTTTCGGTTGAATTTATTTTACATAGCAGGGAATGTCAGTAAAGTTAGGACGTTCTGAGTTGAGAGGCTTTTAGACTTTGCTTGAGGATGGCGAGGACTGAGCTTGACTTACCCTTTGCAATTTCAAGTTATTAATATGAGGGCTAGCTCGCGATCCGACCGGATGAAGACGCTCCCGGTATGGCGATGAGGGCGGAGTGATGGATGAAATTCAGCTGAAGCAATAACGTTGAAAGCAATTTTGACATGGACGGGACCGAGGTACGCCCTGCCGATTTCTAGCCCGATCTATCAGTGCACAGGATAGACATGTGGGCCAGTCAGCATCACCATTTCTGGTTGGAATCCTTGGCTTGCTCGTCGACTCCATGACCGATTTGAGAAACGAGCTGGTCTCCTCCTTTGAATACTAATGATCCAAGAAAACAGGCTGTCAGTTCATAGGCTTGCTTCAATAGTGCCTTGATGAAGCTGCAGACTCAACTTGTATTTTGAAGGTTGAGTAGTTGGTAAACGGAGGTGATTGGGTCGGGCTATTTGGCAAGTAAATTACCAAGGGATATCCACCATTACCTTGCTTAATTGGGGCTTCGCAGCCGAAGAATGTGGGTCGAGATGAAAATCCTGCAAGTGCAATCGCCGTCCTCATCAGTCTCTTCAAATCTTCCTTTCAAAGATGAAAGAGTGGCTCAGGCTCGCACCTCTTTGCTCCCAGATTTTGGGGTCCAAAGGGACAGGTGGAAAGTTGGCCGTGCCGGCCGGCAGGATTTTGGTCACCCGCAAAAAGGTGTTGATCATACTACTTCCGTTAGGCCAGCCAGCCCCATTGACGCCACTATTTTTCCGATAACAACCAATTGGTCAGCTTTAGGTTGATAGTTTTTTCTTTGCGCGGGAACACGCAAATCCACCTTGAACCAGAATCCCTAGATGCGTCCGCCGCCAAGATAACATCTACGTGCCTAGCTGGAGCCAACAGCGGATTGAGAGGTATATTTTCGCCGTTTTCTCCTGCAAGGAGAAATAAATGAATCAATCATCGTAAAGCAAACCGCACGATGTAAGATGCCACGATCATCATGCTGGACTCACCGCCATCAACGATCTCCAACTCGTTGGAGTTCGAACGGTCAAATCCAGCCGGGCCATTCACTCCTTTAAAAGAATTCGGGTACCGCGCCGTTAATGATTTGCCAGCCTTGGATCCAGAGGTTCTGCTGGCCATGTTCGAAAAGACTGCAGAATATTGGGTTGGAAGACCAGTCACAGCGTTGAAAAGCTTTTGTCACGAGATTAAGAGAATGTCAGTTCAGAAAACAACTCAGAAAATAATAGTTTTTTACTCAACTGTAGCAGAGCTTCCCATGATAAAACTCAATTGATCAAATCCACGCACACAGCTATTTTTGGGGTTGGTTTTCTTCATGGCTTTGATGACGGAGGAAGCGATGAAAGGCTTCCCAGCATTGAGACTGGTGCCGAGGTACTGCGTGGGAATGAATGCACTGAGCTGAGGGTCAAAGCTCCCAAACTCGAACGGCGAACACTCGTAGACTGGCGCCGAAAGCGGCACGTAGGTTGATCCGGCGACGGTCACGCTACTTGGGTTCGCGGTTGATCGGAGAGGCTTGTGGTTGCTGACAACTATTGGGAGCGGGGCCAGGAACTCTCGCACCATTTTTGTGTTTGAAAGACTCGAAAAAAGAATGCCAGCGCCATGGGCAGTTGTTGGCGAATTGGTATAAAAGTCTGTATCATTCACAAAGGTATAAATCAGAATACGAAAAGAGCCCCCAATCTTCAGGACACTCATAGCAGCCATCATGGACTAACTTTCAGAATTTGTTCCTGGCAAGAAATGGTATCCAAGAGCGCGTCCCCATTGGTCAGTTAGGGAAACGTTATAACCAGCTTTTTGTTTTAGCTTTACTGTGTCCGAGAGAGCGTCTAGAAACTGCGCATTCCTCAGGGGGTTGAGTCCCCCGGGAAGGACAAGATCATTCTCCAGCTGCCAGCCTGAGACCATATCAGACGCGGTTGGATAATTGTTTGCAGCAAGCGATGCAACGAGCCAGCTCCCACCACTGAGACCAGTGACATACGTTGCTAAAGGATAAACACCTCGCACAGGACTAGACCTAGACCTTGTATCACTAGAAGGGAGAAAAGGGAATTTTGAGCAACTGTGAATGATTTTTTATGACAAAAGGATGTTATGGGACTGACAGCGCTTGGAACACTCCAGCAGCATATAATGACGCGCGCAGACCACCGCCAGAATGGGCGATCCCGAGGATAGGCCAATTTTGTTGATTTCGGGCCAACAACGAGGTGTGCTGGTAGCCAGTGGCCTTGCCGGGCCCGTCGGTGAAAAATTCCCGCCAGAGTGTAGCTGTAACGGATCTCCTACCCCGGAGAAAGTTGGCCTCCGCCTGTGACAAGGTTTGGTTCCGTCCTGCAGGGTTGCCTGCCAGCCGTAAAAGCTGTTGGTTCGCCGGACATTCAACGCTGACGGGAGCATAGGAGGGCAAGCTGGCAGTCAGGACTTGCGAGGTGACCTTCCCGTTCAGGCTCAGCAGACATAGGAAGAAGATGCTGATCATTGTTGGGTAGTCGGAAAGTGGTGTCTGTCTCGACATTCGAGATAAATATTTAGGTATTTTAGTTTGAGGCTGATGGCGAGAATTGTGGGATGCCAAAGAGCATACTACAGACACGGCACTCATTAGCTGGTCTTACTGAAAATAATTTGAGCTGGAAATGTTTACATACTTCGGGTATTTGTTGCCTTGCTCACGAGCTGGGCCTGAATAGAGAAGGGCTGGACAGATCACGGAGTGTTGCTATGAACATGTACTTCAAGGGAGAGCTGCAGGAAATGCCGAACAAGAAAGATCTCCGCTGAAAAATTCAGATACACCAATGCCAGAAAACCAAACATGGGACCACGTGCATGAGAAATAAACAACCTTGAGGTAGCTCTCAGGAATAACCGGGCCAGAATTTCAGACTGTGGCAAAATCTACAATCATCAACACTTGAACGACCAAGTACTGTGTCAGCTGGAGGGGTTTTATACAACGGGTCAGCCCTGCCCAGATGATGGACGGAGGCACACGGCTTTAAGGGAGGCAGAACTGAACTGAGGAAATCAACTGGTACAGGTACGATTTCTAGATTCAAATCAACTGAGTGTCTTTCTGAGCAGGTTCGGTGGTTTTACATACGCCTGTTTATATGCCTGTACCTATCTTTACTCTCAAGATAATCGAGCCGACTGACACGAACCGTATCCCAGCCTTGGTGGTAGCGCTGGATGCGTGTTTGTGCGCTTCGGTCAGCGCCGGTCGACACGGGTGAGTTTCTCTAAAGAGCTGGGGCAGGAAATCTATAAGACCTTGTCGCGATGGGTTTCGACTCTAGGGATCATTTGCGTCCTCGGTGTAGGTTTCATCTTATCTTTCAGGATTGCTTTGTATTGTAAGCCGGAGGACCACAGTCGCAGTGCACTCATCCCTGTTGGACACAGGGCAACTGAAGTCGGGAGTTCTACAACTACAAAAAAACCTACTCTGCGGGAAGACACGGGCCTACTCTTGGGCCCAGTCTGGGCAGTGAGCACCGTGTATCTCGGCTTGGATCCTCAAGCCGGGACATTGGTCGCGAATCATGATAAACTGGCTATGTGAAGAAACTGATACATAAACAGTTAAACCCAAACACCTTTCTCACATCTCATTCCGGTATGCTCAAGGATCTAGCTTGGCCAATCCCGATAGAGGGCCGGAGGCATCTCGCGAAGCGAGCCTCTGTCGCGTCAGCCTGGCTATACCAGGCCCTCCGATCCGATCGAGGGACTTGGGTTAAGTTAGCGGAGGCTCGCTTCGCGTGAGCCTGGCCATACCACTGACCAGTCCCTCCGATCGAGGGACTTGAGTAAGTTAACTCAAGGATGGACGCTTACATAAAGTCAGAAGCCTTCAAATTTGCATACACAACAGTCATAAATGCCATATGAAACCCAGTTGTAGACCAAGACTCTGGACTTCCTCTCTCAGTTATGTGATAACTGTCACTTTGACCGTGCACAAAGCTTTTCACTGCATCAGACCTTCTGTTAACACTTACAAGTCCCCATACCATACCGAAGACCTCTTGGACAGCGTATGAGGAAATTCTCCTGAAGTGATGATCAGTCATAATCACGCATTGTTCACTATTGCAGGAAAAGATAAAGGGTATCAGGATTTTATAATGCTCCATGAATGAAATAAAAAATTTTGGGAAACTGGTTGTTATGGAAAAGTGTAAAACAATAAATAGCTAAAATTGAGTTGGCTTATTTAGAGTAATGGGTTGAAAGATTACAATGCTTTCAAGTTGTGCTGATGCGTTGAATGACCGGGTATACAATTACACAGAAGAATTATATCAGAAAAGTTTACATTGAATATGTTTTATAAAACAGGGAATGTCAGTGAAGTTGGGAATTTCAGATTTGAGGGGGTTTTAGACGGTTCATGGGGAAGGCGATGTTGAAACTTGAGGTAGCTTTGATAGTTTTAAGTTAGTAGGGTGAAAGTTAGTTAACAAGCCGGCCGGGTGAAACAAACTCCGTAATGGCGATGAGGGCAGTGTGATGGATGAAATTCAACTGAAGCAATAACGTTGAAAGCAATTTTGACACGGACCGGACCGCGCCACGCCCTGCCGATTCCTAGCGCGATCTATCAATGCACAGGATAGACATGTGGGCCAGTCGGCGTCACCGTTGTTGGTTTGAATCCTTGGCTTACTCGTCGACTCCATGACCGAGTTGAGGAACGAGCTGCTCTCCTCCTTCGAATACTAATGATCCAAAGAAATGAGCTGTCAGCTCTCAAACTTTCTTCCAGAATAGTGCCTTGACGGAGCTGCAGACTCAACTTGTAATTTGAAGGTTGAGTAATTGGTGAACGGAGGGGATTGAGTGGGGCTATTTGGCAAGTAAATCACCAAAGGATATCCACCATTGCCTTGGTTAATTGGGGCCTCGCAGCCGAAGAATGTGGGTCGAGATGAAAAACCTGAAAGTGCAATCTCCGTCCTCGTCAGTCTCTTCAAATGTCACTTTCTAAGCCAGAGAAGCTGAGGCTCTCACCCTTTTGCTCCCAGATTTTTGAATCCAGGGGGACAGGTGGAAAGTTGGCCGTGCCGGCTGGTAAGATTTTCATCACCCTCAAGAAAGTGTTGATCATGCTGCTTCCGTTGGGCCAGCCAGCCCCATTGACGCCACTGTTTTAAGGAGACGAACCAGTTGGTCAACATTGGGTAATTGGATTTTTTGTTTGCACAGAAACACGCGACTCTACCTTGAATCAGAATCCCTAGATGCGTCCGCCGCCAAGATAACATCGACCTGCCTAGCTGGAGCTAGCAACGGATTAAGTGGTATATTCTCGCCGTTTTCTCCTGTAAATCAATAAATCAATAAATAACTCATCATTAGGCAAACCGCACGATGTAAGAATTTTCTCGCTAGACTCACCACCATCAACGATCACCAACTCGTCGGAGTTCGAGCGGTCAAACCCAGCCGGGCCATTCACTCCTCTAAAAGAATTCGGGTACCGAGCCGTTAAGGATTTGTCAACACTGGCCGCAGAGAGTTTGCTGGCCATCGTAGTCAAAACCGTGGAATATTGGGTTGGAAGACCAGTCAACGCATTGAAAAGCTTTTGTCGCGAGGATGTGAGAATGTCAGCTCAGAAAAACCCTCAGGAAATCGTAGCATTTTACTCAACTGTAGCCGAGCTTCCCATGACGAAACTCAATTGATCAAATCCACGAACACAGCTATCTTTGGGGTCGGTTTTCGCGGCTTTGATGACGGAGGAAGCGATGAAAGGCTTCCCAGCATTGAGACTGGTGCCGAGGTACTGTGTGGGAATGAATGCACTCAGCTGAGGGTCAAAGCTCCCAAACTCGAACGGTGAGCACTCGTAGACTGGTGCGGAAAGCGGGACGTAGGTTGATCCGGAGACGGTCACGCTACTTGGGTTGGCGGTTGATCCGACGGGCTTGTGGTTGCTGACAATTATTGGTAGCGGGGTCAGAAACTCCTGCACCATTTTTGTGTTTGAAAGACTCGAAAAAAGAATGCCAGCGCCATGGGCAGTTGTTGGCGAATTGGTATAGAAGTCTGTGTATCATTCAGAAAGGTATCAATCAGAATACGCTTCATCTCAATCTGATTAACCATCCTGTACTAACTGTCAGGATTTGTTCCAGGCAAGAAATGGTATCCAAGAGCGCGTCCCCAGTGGTCCGTTAAGGAGATGTTATAGCCCGCGTTTTCTTTCAGCTTTGCTGTGTCATGAACAGCGTCTAGAAACTGCGCATTCCTCAGGGGGTTGAGTCCACCGGGAAGGGCAAGGTCCTTCTCCAGCTGCCAGCCTGAGACCATCTCGGACGCGGTTGGGTAATTGTTTGCAGCCAGAGATGCAACCAGCCAGCTGCCACCACTGAGACCGGTGACATACGATGCTAGCGGACAAACGCCTCGCACGGGGCTAGAGGTAGACCTTGTATCACTAAAAGGGGAAATAGGGAAGTATGAGCAATTGTGGATGACATTTCAAAACACAAGAATGATAAAGCACTAACAATGCTTGGAACACTCCAGCAGCATATAATGACGCGCGCAGACCACCGCCAGAATGGGCGATCCCAAGGACGGGCCAATCTTGCTGATTTTGGGCCAACAACGAGGTAGACTGGTAGCCGGTGGCCTTGCCGGGCCCGTTGGTGAAGAATTCCCGCCAGAGTGGGGCTGTGACGGATTTCCTGCCCGTGAGAAAGTTGGCCTCCGCCTGTGACAAGGTTTGGTTTCGCCCGGTGGGGGTTCCGGCCAGCCGCAAAAGCTGTTGGTTCGCCGGACATTCAACGCTGACGGGAGCATAGGAGGGCAAGGTGGCAGTCAGGACTTGCGAGGTGACCTTCCCGTTCAGGCTCAGAAGACATAGAAAGAAGAGCGTGATCATTGATGGGGAATAGGAAAGTGGTATTTGTCTCGACATCCGAGATAAATAGTTATTTTGGTTTGAGGTGGATGGCGAAAATCGTCGGAGGCCAAAGAGCATACAAGAAACGAGGAGACGGGGCCGGTTGGTATGTCAAGCCTTAAAAAGTCAAAGGAGGGTGAGGAAAAGTTATACCTGATATCATGCGGGTATAAATACATAGAGACACGGCACTCATCAGTGAGTTGATCCCAACGAAAATCAATTGAGCAGAAAATGATTACATACTGCAGGTATTTGTTGCCTTGATGACGAGCTGGGTCTTCCCGGAGGAGGACTGGAGAGCACTGATCAGGGAGTGTTGCTATGAATATGAAAACTTCAAGGGAGAGCGAGTGACGTGCAGGAAACGCCGAACAAGAAAGATCTCCGTTAGAAATTTTGGGATATATGCTGGAAACCAAAGATGAGGAACCTCGTGGACGACGTGCACGAGAAATATAGACAACCTTAGGCTGATCACAGAAGCACCTTGGCTATGTAGAAGCTCAGGCTGCTAGTGCTACCAAATCTATGTTCACCAACATTTGAACAAGGCCACCAGCGTCGAATGACGGCTGAAGGTTTGATACAACGGGCCAGCCCTGACCAGATGGGCGGAGGCACATGGCTTTGAGGGCGGCAAAACTGAACTAAGAAGATCCACTGGTACAAGTATTTCTGGGTTCCAATCAACTTTCCGGTGGCTGTTACGCCAGCTTCATCATTGTTGAGCCTGTACAAGTACTCTAGACCTGATTCTCTTGTAGGGAAACAGATGTCCGCTCGGTAGAAAATTACTGAGCTGACTCACAGGAACCGTTTCGCAGCTCGGGTGGGTGGTGGTAACGCTGAAAGTCGGCGCCGGTCGACACGGATGGGTTTCCCCCAGGTGAGGTACAAAGAACGTCTGTAAAGAGCTCGTCGGGATGGTGTTCGACTCTTGGATCATTTGCATACTCGGTGCAAGCCTCGTCTTATCCGGCAGGTCGATGGATTTGTGGGTTGAAGGACAACAATAGTCGCACTCATCTCTGTTGGACACAGAGCAACTGAAGGCCGGGTGCCAGAAACAACACTCTTGACCCGCGCTACTGTTAGAACTACAAAAACGTTCTCAGAGGCTCTGGCCGTTCAGGATTCCTCGTGTGCTGGAAGACACAGGCTCACTGTGGCAGCTCGCTCAAGGATGCTTGGGCCCGGTCTGAGGCTCTGAGCACCGTGCATCTCGGCTTGCCTTGAGCCGGGACATTGATGGCGAATCACCATAAACTGACTATATGAACATCAGAAGACAGCTGATACTCCTCAACACATGAGAAACGATAGGGGTGAACATTTGGCTTGTCATGAGATTCGCTCTTCCGTTCGGCAAACAATTGTACTCATTGCCGACCAGGTATCCTCAGGCGCAACCAGCAGTCACAACACCTCCTAAGACAAATTCAGAAAACCGCACCCGCGAGGCTAGGTTGACCCAAACACCCTGCTCACATTTCCTTTGGTTTGAGGAGCCCGTGTCGACATGCTCAAGGAAGGAAGCTCACATCGAGTCTGGAGCATGCAAATTCATATCCGCAACACTCAAAAACGCTTCATGGAATCCAGGAGAATCTGAGCCGCCTCTCCTCACATGAAAATCGAGTTTTCCGGGTTGACCGTGCACCTAGTTTTTGCTACATTCCTTCCGTTTAGACTTACGGTTACTCATACTATACAGAACTACATCTTTGATAGCGTAGAAGGAAATTTTCCTAAAATAGTGATCAGTGATATTCACGCATTGTTCACCATTACAGGAAAAGCAGGGGAAACCTCAGGAAACCTCTCCCAATGCGCTCGCTGATGAGTCCACCTAATCGCCGATGCTTGTTCCTTATGTAACCATGTTTCAAACCAAAGATCTCAGAGCAAAGAAGCTACAAAATCATTTAAATTAGCCAAGATCCCTCCCCTCAACTTAGGTCCATGTATGAAGTGAAGCATTTCCCAGAAAGCAAAGAAACTGAGAGATATGTTGTCTTTTCCAAGAAGCTTGGAACCATTCAAAAAGAAATTTTTTTGGAAGATCCAGGCAGATCCCATGCTTTTGATATACAACTTTGATTTGCCAGGTTTAGGTCTGGACAGGTATGTGATCCGACCCAAGACCTGAAACTGCAATCTTGCCTTGGTTTCTTTCTAAGAAGAGCTCTGGCAAAACAAAGCTCATATTTGGAATCAGGGTGCAAAGTTCACCCAGATCCCACCACCTGCCCGGCCATCCCTTGCCACACCGGACCAGGCTGGGAGGGGAGTTCATGGCCGGGCATCCGGTTGCTGGATGGGGAGCAGGGGATGTCGAACTTACAGTCCAAAGAGTAATCCTCATCCAGCTGCGGTGCTGCGGCCAAGTTAGGCAGTGAGATAAACAAAGTTTGAAACCTAGAAGATTTGTATCGAATGCTTAGATAGTCTCTCAATATTCTTGTTGTGTTTCTTTTTCTTCATTCGATTTCTCTAGTTTCTTTTTGTTGTGTCTCACTCACCGCTATCACTCTCCGCTCACTTGACACAGGTTCGCTTGTCCGTTGCTCTCATTGTTAGTCCACTTGGTCGTGTCCTAACACTCTGGTTGGAAACCAAAAGGTTTGCTTGTCCGTTGCTCGCATCGTTAGTCCACTTGGTTGTGTCCTAACACTCTGGTTGGAAACCAAAAGTTCTTTAGGTTATGAGCCCAGAGGCGCTTTAACTGCTACCCAGTAATAACCAAGAACCAAGACCGACCATGAACAACAAATCTTCGTATCCAGCTATTCCCACATTGTCCAACTTAAATTGGGACTTGTGGAGTATGCTCATCAAAGGATAAATGAAGCAACACGATCTCTACTCCTTCATCTCGAGTGCTGAGACTGAACCAACCGATGCATCTGAACTCAAGTCTTTCAAAAATCGAAAGATGAAAGCTTCCGGTGTACTCCAACAATACATGGGTATCACCAATTATCAGAAGTTCAAGACAACCAAGACCAAAGACAAAGTGTACAACAACTTTCTGGCTCTGTGATTCAAAGGAAATGACATCAAATCCTTCATCATCGATCTTACGACTCACATCAGTCGTCTCAACACCGTTGGCCTCAGGATTGGTATACCTACCGACTTTGAAATTCACGAGAACCTATTCTGCAAAAATGTTCTAGAGAAAATTCCTTCTGGGTTAATTCATACCCGAGAAGTACTCATTCAAAGCCGACCTCTAACTATTGACAAACTTCAAGAGTTGCTCAAAAATAGACGGCTGGACGACTCAACCGTTAAAATCAAATCTGAAGAGACGGCCATGAAAGCGGTATTGAAAGCGTCAAATCCTTCTGATCCTCAGTGCACCGACGGAGTTCACAATCCGGAGGCTCATCATCCCGAGTGGAAATGTTTCCAACTTTATCCGGAACAGAGGGCCAGAATGGAAACAAGGCGAGCTAAGACTCAAGCTAAGGCCAAGAAGGCTCAAGTCGCCGAAGACAACTCGTCAACCTCAAGTGTGGCGTGGGTTACAATCAAGAAGGCATTCTCGGTCAAATTGGCGCCTAACACTGCTTACCTCGACAGTGGCGCTTCTCATCACATGATCTCTGATCAATCAGCCTTCTCAACGTACAACACGGATTCCAGATGCAAGATCAAACTCGCTGATGGAAAAACTATCATCTGTCCTGGGATTGGGAGTGTATATGTCAAGACAGAAACCGGTCAACCTCTGAAACTGGAATGCTTGCACGTTCCTGAGCTTGTTGGCAACCTCATCTCAGACGGGCGATTATTTTGTCGGGGTTGTGATTGAGTACGAACCGGTCCAACCTCAGCAAATCTGTTGAGCAAAGGTCAAACACTCTTCAAAGTCAACCTCACCAATCAAGACGTCTTTACAATTAATCTTGAAATTGTCAAAGGCAAGTCCTCTCCCTTGGCAAATTTATCGGCTAAGACGGCTTCTGACATTGAACTTCTACACAGGCGGGCGGGGCACCCAAGCAACAAATCCCTGAAGAAGATGTACAACCTCTCTGATGTCAAAATCAATTGAAAAGCATGCTCTCTGTCCAAATCCCATTGTTTGCCATATTCCGGGACTCTTCCCACATCCACTCATCCTCTCGAATTTGTTCACTTTGATCTAAGCGGTCGAATCAATCCTCCCACATTAGAGGGTCATGAATATTACTTTAAAATAACCGACCAATTCTCCTCTTACAAATTTGTTTATCTTTTGAAAAAGAAGTTGGAGGCCTTTCATTACTTTGAGGAATTCTATAATCTTGCTACAACTCTTCATTCTTGTCCAATCAAAAACATCACCACCGATGGTGGCGGCGAGTTCAATTCAAACAAATTCAAAGCCTTTCTAAAAAATAAAGGTGTAAACTCTCACATTACCGCTCCCTATACCCCTCAACAAAATCCTGTGGCAGAACAGGGAAACAGGACGACAACCAAGAAAGCAAGGGAACTTCTCAAACAAGCCCACTTGCCTCACACTCTGTGGGGACATGCTGTAGAAACAGCTGTCTTTCTCGAAAACATCACTCCAACTCGTAAGAAGAAGTGGGTATCGGCATACAAGCTATGGTTTAATGAAACATTTGATTACTCGCGTTTAAGATCCTTCGGTTGTTGGGCCTACCTGAATTTACCTGGAGTCAAAAGATTGGCCAAATTCTGTGATACGACCAAAAAGGGGATTCTAGTTGGGTACCAGCTGGGAATGCATAACTGGCGCATTCTCAATGAGGATGAACGAGTGGAGTTGAGTCATGATGTCACATTTGACAAGACTCTCTATCGAGGAATCTCCACGCTCAATCCAGCTGGCCTAATATCTCCGGTACACCTCCTATCTGAAACATTTGAGAATGATGAAGAAATCAGTCCGGATCCTCCTCAATGTGTTGTGGAATTGTCTGAATCTGAAGAATTGGATGAAGAAGTTCATTGTCTCCTCACAAACAACGAGAAAGACTCTTTGACTGGTCAACAATCTGTACATCTGTCCCTTCCGTCACAAGAAGAGCAAGATCATCCTCCATCAACTTCAGTTTGATCACGACCAGGTTACAACTTAGTGGTCCAACCGATCAACCAGAAAGCACCCAAGGACATAAGCTCTGACATTGATGAATCAAACATTATCACATCAAAAAGACGTGCTCATGTCAATGGTGGGCCAGCTACGCTAACTGTAGCGTTAGCGTAGCGTAGTGTAGCGAAAAATCGCTACAATGTAGCGTAGCGTTAGCGCTTTTTTCATTTTCAGTGCTAACGCTACGCGCACGGGGCAAAACAATGCGCTAACGTTTAGCGTAGCGTTAGCGCAATTCTCCCCATCCGCGCTAACTCTACGCGCACAGGGCGCAAAAAACCGCCCGCTACGCTGCGCTACAGCAGTTTTTAGCGGTTTTTTGGCGTTTTTCCTGCTAAAAACGCTGTAGCGTAGCGTAACGCAGCGTAGCGGCGCCAGCGAGGCGCTAACACTACACCAAAAAATGGCTAGTGTTAGCGCCGCTACAAGTTAGCGTAGCGCAGCGGCCGTAGCGGCGCGCTAACACTACACAAAAAAAAAAAAAATTGGCGCCGCTACGCTAACGCTACATGGGCCCGTAGCGTAGTGTAGCGTAGCGGCCCACCGCTGCTCATGTTGCAATCACAGACGAGGACTTTGATTTCCATGTTCAATGCTTTCTAGCCGGGGCTCAATTCTCTGATCAGACGTCCAAAGCACCCAAGACTTACTCTCAAGCGATGAAGGATCCAAACTCCACTAGTTGAGTAGAAGCCATCGGTGCCAAGCTTTCCGCCATGGAAAGCCTGGGTGTGTGGAAAGTGGTCGATATTCCAGCAGGAGTAGAACTTTTGAACACAGTTTGGATATTTCGGAAGAAGTTTGATGAGGACGGTAATTTATCTAAGTACAAGGCTAGGTTGTGTGCGGCTGGAAACTTTCAAGTGGAAGGACTCAACTATGCCAAAACATACGCTCTAACAGGCCGTCCTACAGCACTCCAATCCCTCTTGTCCATGGGAGTCACTTGCAGATTTGACATTCATCAGATGGATGTCAAGAACGCCTTCTTGAATGGGAAACTTGACAAAACCATTTATCTTTGTCCTCCAGCTGGACTCAACATCCCAAAAGGAAAATGTCTTCTTCTCCTCAAATCCATCTACGGTCTAAAGCAGGCACCAAGAGTCTGGCATCACAAGCTTTCCTCCTTTTTCAAGTCAATCAACTTCTCTCCTTCAAACGCTGATCCTAGTCTTTTCACCTCAAACGATCCCGGGTGGAAATGTTGGGTCCACGTCTACGTGGATGACATGGTCATTGTCAGCAAGGATGTTGATAGATTCAAAAAACTGAATTCCTTGCGGTATCTCATGGACAATCTTGGCCCATTGAAGCACTTTCTAGGAGTGAAAATTCAGCAAACAGCATCCTCCATTCACCTGTCCCAGGAAAATTACACAAACAAAATAGTGTCCTCCTATGGAATGCAGGATTGTAGGACATTTGAAACACCATTTGTTCCAAACACCAGACTTGTCCCAGCCACTCCTGAAGAAAAGTCAGAATTTCTCAAACTCGGCATCAACTATTGTCGGGCAATTGGACTGCTCAATTACCTCGCAGTTTCAACTCGACCTGATATTGCGTTTGCAATGTCTCAGCTATCCCAATATCTCGAAAATCCTGGCACCAAACATTGGTCTGCCTGTGTTCATCTTATCAGATATCTCACCGGATCAAAAAACAGGGTATTAACCCTTGGCAACTCAATTTCTCCAGTTAAAATATATGTCAACACCAATCATGCCAACGACAAAATTAACTCATATTCTTATTTCTCCTATCTGGTTATGCTCGGTAACAGTGTTGTCTCATGGAAGTCAAAGAAAAAACCCATCAGTATCATCTTCGACGACTGAAGCTGAGTATAAGGCCCTGTATGAAGGTGGTCGTGAGGCAATTTGGTTAAACAGGTTGCTAGCCTGTCTGGATATCCCCCATCATGGTCCAATTTCGGTTCTGTGTGATAATCAAGCAGCTATCGCAATTGAAAAGAATACTGTTTTTCACAACAGGACCAAACATTTCCGAGTACACTTACACTGGATCAGGGAGCAAATATCCGAAAATTCCATTTCTACTCATTCAAATCTGGCGGATTTCCTTACCAAATCTCTATGCAGGATAAAGCACATGGCATGTGTGGAGGGCATCAACCTCACAGATTGAGGATTAGGGGGGATGTTGAGCTTACAGTCCAAGGAGTAATCCTCATCCAGCTGCGGTGCTGCGGCCAAGTTAGGCAGTGAGATAAACAAAGTTTGAAACCTAGAAGATTTGTATTGAATGCTTAAATAGCAATATTCTTGTTGTGTTTCTTTTTCTTCATTTGATTTCTCTAGTTTCTTTTTGTTGTGTATCACTCAGCGCTATCACTCTCCGCTTGCGTGACACAGGTCTGTTGTTCTTTCTCTTCTCTCTATCTTCTCTCTCTCTGTTGTTCTCTCTCTCATGATTCATTTTCTCTTCAGGTTTGCTTGTCCTTTGCTCTCATCGTTAGTCCACTTGGTCGTGTCGTAACACTCTGGTTGGAAACCAAAAGGTTAGAAATGAAATATCATTGGATTTCTCTAGTTTCTTTTTGTTGTGTCTCACTCGCCGCTATCACTCTCCGCTTGCTTGACACAGGTTTGCTTGTCCGTTGCTCTCATCGTTAGTCCACTTGGTTGTGTCCTAACACTCTGGTTGGAAACCAAAAGGTTTGCTTGTCCGTTGCTCTCATTGTGAGTCCACTTGGTCGTGTCCTAACACTCTGGTTGGAAACCAAAAGGTTCGCTTGTCCGTTGCTCTCATCATTAGTCCACTTGGTCGTGTCCTAACACTCTGGTTGGAAACCAAAAGTTCTTTAGGGGAGAAGCAAAAGGTGGGATAACTTATGACGGAATCCTTTGAATAAAAAAAATAAAACAAGCTTTTTAATGCATAAGAAGACAAAAAAATTTGGAGAGGTTCCAACATTCTTGGAAAAGACAATAGTTGCGGATGGCATAAACTGAAGCTGGATTTTTGGGATGTCTGGATTTGTGAGCCAAGAAATCAGTTTTATATTTTCAAACTTTTGAGCTCCTCTGAGCCTCTCAAATGCTAAAATAAAAATGTACTGCTGAATATTGAATTAACAAAGAGAATAGATATTGTAGGTGAGATGTGGAAGTTGGAACAGTACAAACACATGAATATGCATCATTTGAACCCACACTTATGGGTTTAAGCATGGCTTTTTGTAGGCTTGTCCGGGAAAATGCATGTCACACTAAGAAAAACAAGAACCGCTGAGTTAGATGCTTATTTCTTACAACTTCAACTTCTAGACTGTTTTACACGTTCAAAATTTCTATAAAGATAAGTTACAGGGTACTTGCTCCTCCCGGGGATAGGGCCAGGGCAGGGTCAACTTATGCCATCTGTAACTGTACAGCAAATCCCAGAAAGGTTGTCACCTTGAGCTGGATTTTCCAAGCAGAAATCAAGATATAATCAGGTCAAGGAGGCAATTTCATCTACAAACTTGCGTTAAAACAGTAAGATCACTGCAAAAATGCAGTTTGAGTTTTCATATGGATTTGGTGTATGCAGTGTTTTCTTGAAGGAAAATCCACATCAAGTGCAACAAACTTCCCAAAATTGGCTGCAGTGAAAATCAATGAAAGGGCTCAAAACCAAAGAAAGAAAGATAAATAACCACACTGCCAAAGGGGTTATATTGGCTGGGCCCACCAATGCATTATCCTTTGTTGTAATGTATTGGTTGGCCCAACCAATATAGAGTCAGTCCTGAAGACCAATCTTACATTGGTTGCCTCTTGTCAACCTTGCTGTGGGGGTTGTAACCAATACAACTCCTTTGGCCGTGCCAAAGGCAAGCAAAGTGGTCTTTGCAAGCAAAAGTTGGATTATGTGCCTTTGTTGGCTGAATGGTGGGTTATTTCATGGTCCTGTCACATCTCTGAGTTTGCATGACTTAACACAGATCCCTTGCTTCAGAGAGCCCAGGTGCAAAGTGCAACCTCCAAAGGATGGACTTTTGGTTTATCCCTTGCATTTGGCTTCAGAGCGTTTGACATTTTCTTTTTTTTCTTCCCTTTATCTGGTGAGCTCCCCCCAACAAATATTTATCCATGTAAAAGCCCTGATTTTTTTGACGCTTTCTGATGAGATCTTTCCATGATTATTCTCCCCACTCAAGCCTTTTTTTGGCTTTAAAAATCATCATGTTCTGCAACTGGCCATCCTGTATGGGTGAAAATACAGCTCCCACCCACCACAAAACAATAAATAAACCATGATTTCTGCGGTCGCAAGAACTCAACTGCTGGAGGAGGGCAAAAAATTCCCTCTGGTGTGAATTTTATCATTTACAAAGTACATACTACATTGAAGCTGATATGCTCATCTATCTGCATCTCTTCACCTCATTGTCTCACATTTATTATGCACTGTGTGATATTAATTGGTTACAAATGACATTGGCTCAAAGCCACAGAATTTCCAAAGCTCTCAAGTTAGTGAACAGTGATAACTCATAATACTCCCATTGGGAATGGCAGATGCTTTGCATTGGGTGTTCTGCACCCCCCAGTCCCATTGGTAGACTTAGTTCAGTCAGGAGATCAAGGGGCTTGTGTTAAGCTAGCCTGCAGCCCTTTCTCAAATCTGACTGACAACTCTTGACTCTTGACTTTATTCATGCTGTCTCACAACTCAAAATTAAGTAATTTTTTGATTTGTGTTGTAGGATGTATAAACCATCAACATGGAGGTTGCAGAATTAATCTTGGAGAAAGACTGCATACTTGCAAAGAAATAGACAATGCTGGGCCAGCTACGCTAGCCGTAGTGGTTAGTGCAGCGTAACGTAGCAGAATTCCGCTTAACTTTAGCTTAGTGTAGCAGAATTCCGCCATGTCCACGCTAACACTACGCGTGCATGAAGAAAAGAAAAGAAACTCTCAGCAACCAAATCTCTCTTGGATGTTTGGATGTTGAGAGCATACACTCTCAGCAACCAAATTCCTCCTGGCTATTGCGATCAACATCCAAACATCCAAGAGAGATTTGGTTGCTGAGAGTGTATGCTTTGGACAGCCTAGAGGGATTCCTCTCAGCCATCAAGAGTTTACATGCTGGCCAAGAGGAATCCTCCCAGACGTCAAGAGTGCACAACTCTCAGTGGACTGAGAGGGACCTCTCGTGTGCTGAGAGCTTCCCAGCACCAACTCCCAACCCCCCTTTTGTGGCATTGGAAGCAGATTCTTTGTTCAGTTGGAGGTTGACCTGAAGGAAATTACAACTCTTGCCATCCAAGAGGAAACCCCCTTGGCCACTGAGAGCTCTATGGCAGTGGCACCAACTTCCCCCCTGGGGTTCTTAGAGGATCCAATCCTGAAAACCCCCAGGGTTTTTTGTATTATCATTATTTGGGGGATTTATTCCCAAAGCTCTCAAAGGTTTTGGAGGTCCAACTCCCAATTTGGGGGTTGGACATCCTGAGGACCATTGGCAGCCGGTCCTCTTGCCATCCCAGAAATTTGGGAGTTGAGACTCCAATTTATGGGAGCCAATTAACCAAGGCCCAACAAAAAAGTCTTGATAATTCTAATGGTGCTATCCAGTGCACTGGGAAGTTATATTACAAAAATCCCCCCAGATATCATTACACATGTAAATTTCCAGTGTTGGGAAGACAAATCTGGCAGAATTCATCAGGTATTATCTTGTGGAAAAATCATCTCCTATTCATCTCAATGCTGCATACCTCAGCTTTAAGCTGAGATTAAGCTTACAAAAGGGTGCCATAATGACACAAGTGGCCAAGATCTCACATTTTCATTCTTTCTATTTCTCATTTCATACTATGTAATGCATTAATTCGTTTTTCAATTCAACCCAAAAAGATTAATATCTTCTATCCATTCCATTCCAGTTTCTCAAAAATCTGTGGGTGAAGATAGCTATTTAACTCCAATATACAAAATTTCAGATTTCATTGCACAAATGGAAAGAGGGATCCATTCAAGCAAAACATGAATTCATTCAAATCAAACATGTATTTGGTCACTAGAATCCATGAAAGGATACCAATGAATCAGAATGAATCATTGGCTCCAATAGTCAAACCTTTGCTTGTTGAACTGTAGATTGCATCATCTAAGCCCATGGGTACCCACTGGACAACCGGTTTGTGTTTACAATCTGTGCCCATCACCAGATTTGATGGGCTGGGCCAACATTACGCCATCCCATAAATGTGCTGTCTGCACCGGGCCCAAATCCAGCTGGGTATGGGCGGGCCATGAGTGGGCACCCGGGCCAACCTGTACGATCCCTACAAAGTTTTACCCGCCTGCTTCTTCATAGTGCACTCGAAATTTTTCTGGCCGACCAAGTGGCTCACTACTAGTTGATATATCGAGATGGACGGGACACTGGCCCCAAGAAATGGATCCATGAACTCAGATGGAAAGTCTGAGGAAGAAAATATAGGTGAGCTAGGACCTACTCTCAATCACTGACACCACTCGCTGACTAATTAGGTAGGTTGGAGCAGACATTTTCACCATACTGATTGTGTCTTTTCTTATGTCCTCTGCATCAGAACTCACTCTCAAAATCCTTTCAATAGTCCGGCAACGAATATCCAGTCATTCCAAGGACGACGAGGATGATAACCGGGCCAACCTGGTCTACTGGTTGGAATTGAGAAATACGGTTCCTTACGAATTGCGACAAACTATCTTACCCAGGCTGCATGAAAGGATACAGTCTGCAACAATGATGTTGAACGAATTTGATCCGACGACAATCAATCCAGACTGGTGGTACCGAAGATTCTCGATCAGGTTAATGGATATCGCTGAGCTAGTGGAACAAATCAATTCATCAATACTGTCGATATGGACAACATGCGAACCCGAGCAAGAAGCTCCACATGAACTCCCCGAGGTGGAGCATCTAACTCGATCCAGATGTACCAGAACTGAATTTCTTGTTCAATGCCTCATAAAGTATGATCTAGACGATCTCTTCGGTTCATTCGAAGACCTTTTCAATGGTTTGCGTCCGACGACCTCATCTGGTAGCAGTCAAGACTCCGGCCAGATCATCGAAGGTATAAACAGACGTATGCCCCCGGTCGTTGACCGCATCAATTCTATCACTCAATGGCTTCAAGAACCTTTGGTGAACATTGCAAAGGCAGACTGGACAAATATGGCCGACATGTTTGAACACGGATTGTTCTACTCTACATACCGGACCAAATTTGCATCTGAAGCAAGCTTTTTACAAGCCTTCACAACATTCCTCAAATTCGCCCGGTTATTGGTAACAAAACTCCCGCAATCAGCCCCCAATCAACCGTTATTTTTTTTCGGACCATTAATGGACATCGAAGATGTTCGACTGAAAATACTGATGTATTATAGCGATAAGATTGGAATTTGGATGAGTACTATGGGATTCAAAATCCAAAATCCTCATCAACCGATCGATTTTCGAGAGGTAGCGACTGTGTTGATCCGTGTTATTGGTGGCTACAGTCGGTTCTTGATCATATTGGAAAGGTATTGGGACTCATTACTGGAAAGTGATGCTCCACAAGTGGATCCTAATTTGATTGTCAATGCTCGTCAGTGGCTCAACTCTTGGACGCCCCTATTTACACTCGCGGCTCGTAAAGTGATGCAAGCTACCGGCCGGCTACACTTCCATCAGTTTCATTTCGAACTTCGAGAGGCTGAGCACGACGACTTTCTCATGGAGGACTGATTCTTGGTTCCAAGCATCACTTGATTCCATTTTCTAACCTCTCACAGTTAACAACAGTGAACTTTGTCGCACTTGTTTACTTCTCTTCATGGATTTAATTCTAAGTCACGGACATCTTGACTTAAGCCACCAATCACCAAAATTGAAAATGAAACTTTGGTGATTGATAGGTTGCAGCTGAAACAAGTTCATACAAACTGCCCATGCCCTTACTTCTTTAATCAATTCCCCAAGCCAACACAATGAACATCTCTGTTACAAAGAAGCACACATCTTTACTGAATTCTATTAGATTCTTGCTACCTGACAACTTCAACTGTGAATAATTTTTTTTGTTCACAAAATTCATTTGGTGCCATCACCTTCCTTTTGTTGCAAACAGCACTACTGCACAATTTCTTTCTTCTCAAAGTTGCTCAATCCGGCACATTGCTCACTGAAGGACTTCCCATTGCCAAAATTGCTTGATTTAGAAGGGGGTCCTAAACTCTACTGGCTGGTGAAAACTTGATCTTGTTAGAATACAAGTCTGCACAACTGCTTATACAGGATACGCAGCCATGCAAAACTCAAGCGCAATTCTCACTCTCCTCAAGACATTAGACCTAACCTAATCCATCCCTCGATTCACCCATAAAACCACTGACTGCAATCACAAACTCTAGTTTCCCTTTCTTCACACGCTCAAAACATATTGCAAGTGAAGAAAGAGAAACTAGTAAGTCACAACCCCTCTCATCAAAAACCTCATCAAAAATTTTGCAATCAGGACTAACACTCACCTTTCTCTTTATCCATCTTTTCCTTTATCCCATTTTCCTTAGACTATCTCTTGTGTGTCCTTCATCATAAAAACTTAACTCCTAAATTTCATCACTCACTTCACTCATGCAGGTATGCACTCATCTTGTTTTTTCCTCTCATCTATCAAACTATTTCTCTCTTATTTTGATTTGCTGATTCTTTCTTTTCTAACAGTCATGTTTGTCTTTTTTTTCTCTCATTCATTTTTCTATTAGGTGTGTGTGATACATATAAGGTGTCTTTGCTGTTATCAGGAAACAACTCAGACTAATAATTATTTCATTATCAGGTCTGGCATTGTTTTTCCATTCTTTCTCTTCTCTATCATATCAAACAGTAATACACACTCAATACATATTGCAAGTGAAGAAAGACAAACTAACTATCTCTTGTATGTCCTTCAACATAAAAACCTATCTCCTAAATTCCATCACTCACTTTGCTTGTGCAGGCAACGGTGGGCCGCTACACTAACCGTAGCGGTTAGTGTAGCGTAACGCAGCGGAATTTCCGTTAGCGTTAAGCGTAGCGTAGCGGAGTTCCGCCACGACACCGCTAACGCTACGCGTGTGGGCCACAAAAAAGGGCCCACTACGCTGCGCTACAGCCGTTTTTAGCGGTTTTTAGCCGCTTTTTCCGCTTTTTCCGCTAAAAGCGCTGTAGCGCAGCGTAGCGTAGCGAAAATGCGCTACAAAAGCACTAACACTACAAAAAATTGGCGCAAAAAAAGCGCCGCTACGCTACGCTTTTTGGGCCAAAAGCGTAGCGTAGCGTAGCGGCCCACCGCTGGTGCAGGTGTGTGTCATATAAGGTGTCTTTGTTTTTATTGGGGAACAACTCAGACTGATAATTATTTCATTATCAGGTGTGTGTGATATAAGGTGTCTTCATTGTTATTGGGAAACAACTCAGACTCATAATTATTTCATTATCAGGTTGGGTGTGTGAATTCTGTCATCATTGCAGATCTCCATCAATTTAACAGCAAATAATGTTTAGGATGTCCCTGTAAACAGATTTGGACAATGGGGAAGTTCTCCATTATGCCTTGAAAGCTGTACCTGGCTTCACTAAACTATCCTTGTTCAAGGCTTTTGGCAATTCAGCAATATCTTTGTTTTCCACATCTGGAAAAAGCCATTTTTGGCTAACAAAGTGTCATTGTCAGCTCAACATGTCACAAGATATTGTCTGTGAACTTCAGTCCTGCAGTGTGACCCTGGCCCCTCAACAGATTCAAGCTTTTGCATATCATTCTACGGTGTAAAATGGACCAAAATATTGAATGAAAAGTAAAGAAAATGAGAAAAATGCCAAGCTATCAGGCCAGTCAAGACCAGAAGGGAAGGCTGGTTGAGGAAATTTCATGACAGAGAACTGAGGAGAGAGAGAATGAGAGAAAATAACAAGGTCAAGGAGCCCTCTTTGAGGGCTTATAGTCTGCTAGCTTGTGAGTCAGAAAAGTAATCTCACTACAAGAGATTGTATTAGTTGTATCAGGGATCAGGCACAGAAAGCAGATGATTTTTATGCTCTAACTCAGAAGGCATGTTAATTTGTCTACATAAAAGTGATGAATGAGTTGTGGGACAGAAGGTGAAAATGAGTATTCATCTGGAACTGAGAAAAGGAGTGCCAGGTGGGAAAGGAGTGCCATTGGAGTGAAAGGGAAAGAGAGATAGAGACAACAGAATTCCAACACTGGTTAGACAGACTGAGTATTCAAGTGGTTGTAATAGGTGAAGTGATGTTTGTAACTTATGAGTTTCTGTGCTGGAAAACCCTTTTAGCTGATTTTTCTCTAGTCTAAGATAAGTTAGGGCCTGTATGGTAGGGTTTAATTTGGAAAAATGAAGATTGGGAACAATTGGAGAGATCTGGTGTTGAAAGTCTTCACTTTCAGGCTGAAGACTGGCTCTTAGTGGTCACTTTTGATGATATGAAACTTTGAGCCAGATAGATTTTGAGAAATGAAATTGTCATACCTTACAGTACAGGCCCTTGACTGATGCATGCTGAAAGGGAAGGAATTTAAGGTTGATCATGAAGGAAGTGTTGTTATCAACTAGAGATGGCCCCTACGCATCCAGATATCCACATAGATGCAGATATCCACTGGTGATTTTTGCGGAATCAGACATCCACATCTGCATCTGCTGGTGCTGGCGGGTATCCGGGGAAGGTGTTTTACTGGCTATGGGCTGCACAACACAGCCCAAAGCCGCAACCAAGCCAGAAGGTGACTTATGGCCGGTTATCCCTGGGGATACCCGGATATTATCCGGGATTTCATGGAAAAGGGGGCATCTTCACCCAAATCCGCATCCGCTGGCAGGTATCTGCCAGCAGATAATGGGTATCCGCAACAGATACCCGGAGCCCATCTCTATTATCAACAGTGGGATGTTAATTATTTTAGCTCAGCCCATGGGCAATATGGTTGATGGTTCCAGTTTGCACGTACTGCAGCCATTTAAGCAAGGCACTGGTGTTGAGCGGCTGCTGTTGCCGGTGGATCCATGGCAACCAGACAAAAATATTATTGAGAACACTTTGATGACAACCAACCAAGGAGTTTAATACTAAATCCATTGAGATGGATGGGACACTGGCTCTGGAATATGGATCAAAAGGATGCAAATCTGAGCAAGAAAAAATAGGTGAGCTGACTACCCCCAGGAGTCTTATCACTGATATTTGAAGGTTGAGGAAGACATTTCAAAGCATTCTGATTGTGAAATTTCTTACCTCCTATGCTTCAGAAATTGCCCTAGATGTCTTTTCAATAATCTGTCAACAACTATCCGCTCATTATAAGGACAGTGCCAATAACAACCAGATTGACCTGGCCTACTGGCTAGGATTGAGAGAAGCGGTTCCTTGTAAATGTTGACAAACAATCATACCAACGCTTCAAGAAAGGCTATGGTCTTTATCAATGATGTTGGATCAAATTAATTCACCAACATCCAATCCAAAGTGGTGGTACCAAATATTCTGGCTCATGCTGATCGATATTGCTGAGCTATTGGAAGAAATAAACTTATTGATACCATTGATTTGGACCACATACAGGGCATTGATAAATGCACTCCCTCCCCCTTCCCGCCCCTCCAAAAGGGGCGGGTTTTGCTACACGCCCCTCTGTTTGCTGACATTTGCAACAAGAGGGGCGTGCAGTACAAACCGCCCAAAAAAGGGTGGGTTGGCCTGCACGCCTGGTCTGGAGGGCCAGGAGGAATTCCTCCCGGCTATCAAGACTATACAAGTCTTGATGGTCAGGAGGGATTCCGTCTGGTCTTTGAGACTGTACAAGTCTCAAAGACCGGGAGAATCCCTCCCGGCCATCGGACTAGCTTTATATCTGGGATGGGTTCCTGGAGATGGGCCAGCCACTCAATTCAGCCAGCTATCAGTATCATCCCATCTCCCATCCCCCTTGGATCATGGAGCATCCTTATGCCCACTTGGGCCATGGAAATGGGGGTGGGTCAATCAGTAGTCAGACATTTGAGGACAAGGAGGAGAGCTACCTGCCCAAAAGCAACGTTCTAGCGACTCAAGTGTGGCTGCGTTGACAGATTGATCTTCAACGGAGAGCCAACGGCTATCAGGAGGAGTAGGAGGTATGTTTTTTTGACTCTCTTCACTTCACTTCACTTCACAGATAGGCTGAGCTGACCTTGAGAGTGTCTCTACAGGTGGGGATGGGGTAGGAGGCAGGAGCAATCTACCGGGCGTTGATAAACGCACGCCAGCCCCCCTGGCGCACGCCAGGTGCGGATTGGCGTGCACACCTGCACGCCAAAGAAAATTGGCGTGCGGGCCCGCATGCCAATCTACAGAGTGTAGACCGGGGTGCAGGCCTGCACGCCAAGGATTCCTAAACGCATATGTATACATATGCGTTTAGGAATCCTTGGCATGCAGGCCCGCACGCCGGTCTACACTCTGTAGATTGTGTTGTAACCCCTTTTTGGGGTCACCATCTGCTCACTAGACACCCGGACACGAGACATAGTTTGATGTTTCTCATTCCTCATTTCGAAACTATCATCTCATGCCTCAACAGGTTATGAGCCTTCATCTCATCATCATTTTTCTATCATAGCCCAGCGTAGGGCTCTTCCTTTTTCCTACCATCGGTCAAATCAAATCTTCACCCAGCGTAGGGACGGTTCCTCTCAATACTTCTCCCAGCGTAGGACGACTTCAACTTTCGCGATACGCATCAAGACTCAACATCAAAATACCTGTGTTAGCCGACGTGTGACGATAACAACGACATCAGTAGGCCAGAGTCTAGCTAACTCGAACCCGATACCTTGGTACCTAGGGGGCTGAACTTCGTCTGAGTGACAACATCACCGACGCAACACACGGGGGTCGTGGATTTGCGGTACTCTCCTCACCATCGGACCAGACCGACGACGACAATAATTTTTTCCTTTTTTTTCTTCTTTCATTCAACACCAACAACTACTTCACCGTTCACCTTTCCAACCCAAACTAAATAACCCCATCTCTACCCACTCTTCCCTGTTTTTCTCTATCGATTCTTTTCTTTTTTTTCCCTTCACAGTATCTCCTTCCGTTTCTCTCATCCCAATCACTCTCACTTCTTTTCCTTTTCTTCTTTCTCTATATTCTTAACTGAAGCCACTATCCATACCGACTATGTCAGACTCCCCTCCCCAAAACACCCGTTCGTTCAACCCCAACGACAACCCTTGGAGCTACGACCGTTTCGACCCGACTGCTAACATGGTCAACACCGAGGGGGCGGCCTCCTCAAGCCATCACCGATCCCGCAGCAGAGGAGTCTCGTCGGCGCAGGATAGGCAGGTCCCGAATCAAGAGGACACACCCGGCAACAATCGTCGGAATGTACCGATCTATACTGAGGACGATGTCGACAGGTTCCTCCAAGCAAACCAGTTTCACGGGAAGACAGTCGGGCAGGTGGTTCAAAACCAAATCTCAAGGATGGCCTCAGCGGAGAAGCTCAAGCCAGACGGTTCGAATTTCAGCACGTGGGAACTGTTCATGCGCGAGCGAGTCCGTGAACTCTTCAGCGACCCTAAAAGGGTACACAAAGGCGTGCAATGATCAGTTCCAAGATCCACGTCGGACGTTCACTCCTCCTCGCGACGGT